CTGAAAACGGTTTCACCAGTGTGAACGAAGCGCGTTTCCGATAGGTAGGAAAAGATCGTTTTGCGGAAAGCAACCCCTACATTTCGTGAGTGCCCAACCTGAAGTTTGATTACGTTATCGCTAACTTAATTTGTATGGTGTCCCAGAGATGGCCCTTATTGATTTTCAGCAGAGCCAAAGATCATATGCATGCAACAAACGTCTTGGTGATTTTATAGGAGAATAAGCAAGAAACATTAAATGTTTAAGATATTCAGTTTACTATCGTATACCTACCTAGTTTTTTTTTTAAATCACACGTATGTGCATTGCTTGAATGTTTAGTCAAGCAGAATGAATTTTGTAAGTGAGAACCTTTTAGGTACTAGACACATCCGTGATATAGGTAATAATATCATTTGCCATGTCTTGCGGTTAAAATGGATACAGAAATTAGACACGGAAGTAGCTTAGTATCGAACTATCGGTTATTTCCAGCTTTTGCGGTAAAAATAGACAAAGGTAAGTAAATGATTCTGTTGTATGAATATCTAATTTCACAAAAGTTCATAAACCTGAGTTTATTATATGTGGAGGGCACATGTCATACGTGCCGGGTCCATGTCATCGTAACCGTATTTCCGAGACCGGATTTATATTAGTTAAGCTAATTAGCGTAATTTGTACTTTAATAACGTACAAACTCTTACATCAACCGTACTTTCCAAATGTACATTCATTACATTTTCACGAAAATTACCCAATAAAGAAAATTAACAGTGGAAATAGAGCAACAAAAAATTTGATCAATTATTAATATGTACCTACCGTTATTTATATTACCATATACAATAGCATATGAAATTTGATCGTTTGTTATAAAGCGAATAGGTACCGCTTGGTGGATATACAAAATAATTTTCCAAAGGATAAGCAATATTTATTTAAGAATGAGGTTTATTTGTTAACAGTATACAACAATTTAGTCGACTGTAAATAACCGGAAGCAAAAAATTGTCAAACGTTACGAAAATCACAATTGCGTATGAAAATGTCTACATATACTGATAGGTTGAGAGACTAAAATTAAAGTACGTACTGTAAGTATTTCGTTAGGTTTCTGTATACTTAATTGCTGTACGCACTCTCATTATTCTCATTATTACAGTTACAGTAAATTTGTTTTATTATCATATTAATAATAACGGCGTTGAGACAAATCCCGGAATCGGTCTATGGCTTTCAAGTTTCAATTGCTAAAAATAACAGTAATTCATCAATATCACGTGGGTACCTAATTCATTATTTTTACGCTCTTTAATTATTCACGCAATTATTTAAAATTGTTGAATGCATCGAGTTTTATAGCTTTTATCAACAAAATTGTTACATGGTAAATAGCGACATACATGGGACATGTCTTGGGGCATCTGACAAAGAGTAAAGTAAAAGTAAGCTCGCGGAAAGATAATTGTCAACAAATTTTCATGTTTCTTTTTTGGTGGCGATAGTGGTGGTGATGCGAAATTGTTCTAATCGCAGCGCTAGGGTAGATCCAAGATCCTATTTTACTTGTTCAGTATTTGCTTCATATTGCATTTCATTTTCTCATTAATAAAAGTCAATCTGCTTACTGTCACGTTTCACTAATGGATCATTAAACATGAATACATGCGTTTATAGAATCACGTTTTCAATATTAAAATTCAAACCGTGAACAGCTTTACGAAGCATTTACGCTGTTTTTGTCATTTGTCATACATATATTTGCTTTTTTCATATCATGTAGTACTGTAGTAGTCCGTAATAAATATTGCAAAAGGCACGGATGGCTACTTTTTATGGATATCCCGATACTTGCAGACCTCCCATAAGGTTGGCGCAGGAAATTTAAGGACACGGAATCTTATTTTGGAAAATGAAGTCCCTCAATCACATACCAAAACCGTGCTTGATTACCAAAAACTATATTTTCACCCACCATAGTGTTGAAATGTTCGCTACCCTGAAACGTTATTTATTCCAGTATCTTCAAACATGATTTAAAACCGTATGTAAGCTGAAGACTACAAACAACCTTAGGGTTGTGTCACCCTTATTTTGGCGCGATTTAATTATATTTGAAAAATTATGATTTTCGATAATAATCATAATGCCCCACGACGCTAGGCATTTAGCTTCACCTTCCAATGCATTGTCGAAATCTATCTTGACCGCAAACTTGCATTTGAAACAAGCGAAGCTTCTTTAAACCAAACACTAAGCTTATGCAAGTACCTAATAATTGAGAATGATTTGCTTGGTATCGTTTAGTAATCCGGTAATAGAAACAAGCTGTTCCCTGTTGTAGAGATCACAGAAGATCCCTATTGGACATTCACCGTTGTGTATGAATTGGTGCTATGAGTCGATAATTTTGTACACACTTATTATCTCCTTTTTTATAAATGGGGTTAACATGATTAATTTTTAACATGTTTGGAAATTTGCCGGTGCTAAATGACAGACTTATAAGGTATATCAGTGAGGCTATAGTTGATGCGAAAATTTGTTTTATAAGTACTGGTGGTATCCCCTCCGGACCGGTGGAGTGTTTATTTTTTAATTTTGACATCGAATCCGGCTTGGTTTTGTGAAAAATCTTGTGACGGGCCAAATCCATTTCAAGATATTTAGGTTGGTAGTTATTTTGAAGGAGCCGTAGTATCCCGGAACTTTGGATGTAATCGCTTCACAGTCGATTTCAGGAAATTTCGCCTTCGTTCGTTAGTTAGCGTCCTATGCTTCTTTTTTTTTGCAAAAGTTGCCCAATCATTTTTGTTTTTGTCGTCAGTATCAGGAGGATGATCCCTGTCCTTGGTATTCGGCTCGTTATTAGATTTATTAGTTTTGGAGGAAGCTCCTGGTGCTCCCGTTTCCATTTTTTGTGTGGGAGCGATGTCACTTTATTTGTCGTTGAGAGGGTTCTTGCAGTAGCATACACTTTCTGTTGTGTTTTATTAGTTGGAGTTTGGTTTACGTCTACTTTTTGTTTAGAAGAATTTGAGATGACATTTGAACCTGACCTTTTGATATTTGCCAAGTCGATAGCATCGCCTTTCACCTTGTTGAGTAGATCAATGTGCCCATACAGGAATTTAATTTTATCACTAAGGTCATTAATTAGGTATAATGTCTTTCTAGACCCGTAAGTGCGCTTTACAAGATTTGCTACTTACCTATATGTAGTAATCCTGATGCTAAAAAAATGTGGATGATTTTAATTCGTTCCATTTTGTAGGATACCTTTCATTTTGAGTATAGGGCTGTAAAATCGACCCTTATTTTCCTGCGTACACTTTCCCCGTTTTCAAAATTGATAATTTTGATATAATTTATAAGCATTTTAGACAGACTTTACAATGAGACGGTATGTGTTTTCTTTACGTAAATTATAAAAGACGGGTTCTGCCTTCCCTCCATGACAAAGGCATTTTACTTCATGACGCTAAAAATGAAACAAAATTCAAATAGTTCAAAAACTGTTCGGTCTAGGCGCTTGGCGACTTACTTCAAAATGTAGTTTTTATATAGGTATAGGTACCGAGACGAAGAAAATTTGTTAATCTTATATAAAATAACTAAGTGTTGATCAACTTCAGGTATAACCAAAGATGGTATAATTCTGAAAATACTTAACTGAAACGGGCCCATTCAGTAAACCTTATGTATACCTAATCTTAAAAAATCTATAGCGATTAATTTTCCATATCATAATCGAAGCTGTTCGCTACGCCTACATTTTTTATTTAAATTTATTTTATTTAAATCACGTTTTATGTCTACTGTTACGCAAAGATTATACACAATACTGAAAAATATAATGTGTGGTCAAATATATAAACAAGGTACTTCACCATATTGAACCTTCATAGAACGAAATTATTAAATTACCAACGATTCATTGAGGCGGATAGCAATGACAATCTTTAAATTTGTTGACGATAGTGACACAACTCACATCATTTTCATTCGATCCATCATGGTCTTTCGTTTCAGGTAATCGCGAGCAGCAAGATTTTGTCGACACTTCCATAATCTCGCAACTTTTGACAAAAGCTACGTGTAGGTACAATGAAGGATTCATTAAGTCAATTGTTAGTTGGTTTTTTTTGGACATGATTCAAAAGAACGCGGATTTACCTATATTATCTATTTATTTATTTATTATCCCTATCTTGTTCTGGGCCCCCAACGGGCTTGCGCCCAATTACAGAGTGACCCGCATGATGCTTTTTAGAGTTTTTTTTAGAGATCTATCCATCGGAATCTGATTAATTCAGCCCTTGGACATCGGACATTCAAAAATATATACCGTGTGTACAACTATCAAAAATAATCTGTCCGTCGATACCTACGCCATTCGTTATCAGGAAAAATTAGTGGTTGTAGTCCGCGTCGGACACTTCTTGCTTATTCATTCTGTAGTGATCTTAGAATCGTGTAGAACATAAAATTTAAAAGTTACTATACGTATGTACGTGTTAACTGGATGCGCCGTTGAGCATACAAATTAAAAATAACAGTACTCTTTTCTGGGTGATTGAGAAATTTCGAAAATGAGACACAATTAAAAGAGAAAAAAATAAAATTTCCATGATTAACTTATCAGATTTGTGTGTCGATGCGGCTATAATTTAATTTTATTGTTAGTCCACCTATAAGCGAATCAGGTAATGCAACAATACACCTATGAAAGAAGGAATGGCAATAAAATTACAGTACGATAACGATCTGTAAGTAATCGATTTAAGGCGAAACGACATTTTGCACTTTCCATTTAACAACCTAAATTCCAAATACGATATTTATACGTATAGGCAGTTCTGAATGCCAGCGAAGGTAATAACGCTCTTACATAATATAAACACTTCATAAGCGGAGAAATTTTGAAACTTTCTTATACTTAAATGTTGTAAATCAAATACATGGTGCGGTAGAGTTATCTAATCAGTGATCACGTTTTGTTTTATATATTTCAGGTATGCGTTGGTTTCGCAAACAAGGCAGCGCACCCAAATTGATCAGTTTATCACCTTTAAGAACTGAATCTGCAAAACTTGATTTACCTGTTGATGAATCATTAAAGTTAGTCGAAACAACCAAACGCCGATCTAGAAAAGGTGAGTTATTCATTTTAATGATTTTAATTTAAAAAAGTGCAGTTGCTTGCATATCCTCTCAAGGAAACTTGCATATTTTTTCGAGAAACATGGGAATAATTTTATTCTTAACTTAATTAACACGATAGACGCACATTTCTTTATTTAATAACCATGAAGTTAATAGGTGGTATAACATTTAAAAGTTGATTTTGAATCAACAGTTTTTTCGCGGTCATTAATTAGTAGAACATTGAAAGCAGTTTAATTCGTGTCCTTATTTATTATTCTTATTGCAGATTCTGGTTCTGGGTCGTGGTCTCGAAATCGCTCAAAAAATGAGCTTCGCTATTATAATGTGGGTGAAAGTGTAATTTTTGTGGAAAAATCGGGAAGACGGAGGCACCACTCGCAGCCCCGGTACGTTACAAATGGTTTAGAAGAGCAGAATGCTCGCGAAAAGCGCAACCCTATATTAAATCGGGTCAAACAAACAAAGTTATCGTGCTTTCGATCTCCATCCAACGCGTCTCAATTAGCGTTACCGTCTGAATGCCGAAATACAAACGAGATTCAAGACAATGTTCACTATAGCAAAAATAATAGGGGAAGAAGTACTTTCTTCCCGGCGAAACTGCAAGCCATTTCTTCCAAATACCTACAGTCTTCAACAAACAAATTATTTGTTAAGTTATGCAAGACAGATGACGACGCGTTGTCGAATACGTCTACTAGCAGAGCGGATTCCAGAACTGCCAAAGAACATTTAAGAAGTCTATCGTATGGTGCGATACCGGGCATTAACGAATTTAAAAAGAAGAATAATCCTCTGTATCAGGAATATGACTCATCACACGACGAAGAAGATCAAGCATGTTTAATCGACAATGACGATACAGATAGCGGTATATTAATGAACGAGTCGGGACTAATTGCGTTTTCAGAAAATGAAAGTTTCCGATGCGGAAGTTCCGCTTCATCTAGAACTTTATTGCACTGCGATGATGCGAAACAGTATGATGGTCTATTAAATCACTACAAAGCGGATAGTTCAACGAAAAGGTCGACCGTTGAAAGTACTTTCGAAGCCGTGAATTCTAGTTTCGCGCTAGTTAGGTTAATAAAAAGAGTGCCTTCGGAAGAAATAGGCATTACGATTACTCCCAACCCTGCAGGGAAGGGCTACATCGTTTCGCAATTGTTAGCAGGTGGTATAGCTGCAAGGTAATTTGTCCCTTAAACAACTACTTATTTATTGTCGTGCTCATTGCACTTTTCATTTTAGAGATGGAACTGTGACTATGGGAGACGAGCTCTTGTACATTAATGGGCAGAAATGTAGCAGTAGGAGTATAAGTGAAATTTCCAATCTTCTGTACAGTCCATCTTTAGAAGTCGAGTTGTGCATACGGAGGAGAACGTCTCCAGCAGGAAGCTCTTCGCACAGAATTCAAGAAAGCTTCGTAGACTACGAACATTTGAGCGTATCTAGATCTCCAACAAGGTGTCGAATTCCTGAAAGGAAAATAAGCAGCAATCTCCCAAGTAGACGCTTATTTTTCCAAAAGAATGTCACTCATCAGAGTACTTCCAATAAGCTATTACGCCGTGGGGTTGTTAGTTACGCAGGTCAAAATAAAAATAACGAACAAACTTCTTACGTGCCCGAAACCGACACTCACAACCAAAATAATTCTAAGGACGTCAGTTACAATCAATCCACGCTGGCTGCAAGTAAGGTCGAGGACTTAACTACGAACTTCTGCACTTTGCCTAGACGTCCGCGTTCGGCAGTATGTTCATTCCATACTGTTACACTAGAAAAAGGGTTAGGAAAAAAGGCGCTGGGGTTTACGATTGTAGGAGGAAGAGATTCTCCCAAAGGAGCTTTGGGAATATTTATTAAAACAATACTAGAAAACGGCCAAGCCGCTGAGGATGGAAGACTGCGAGCAGGTAAATTAGCAAGCGCGTCGAAAAAAATTAACCTCTATATTACAGGCGACGAAATCTTGGCAGTAAATGGGCAAGTTTGTCATGATATATCGCACGCTAATGCGGTATCGCTTTTCAAAAGTATTAAAAGTGGTCGTGTTACGATGCATGTTTGTAGACGATCAAAATCAAAAACGTAAGTACCACCAATAGTTCATAACGTTGAGTAACTATTTGTTTTATTTTCAGGGTATCCAAAACAAAATCCTATTCGGATTTACTTAGTACTTCGAATTGTGACGTTTGACGTTAACATAATCTAAGAGTTTGCCAAATATTTATAAAGAAACTATATAGGTTTTACCTATTTTTATATAATGTGATATATTAAATATCTGATATTGTAACATACTGGAAATACCGAATTTTTATTTACCTCGTTTCCTGGTTTGCTCAATCCTTTTCTTCTAGTATTGTCACCTGCACCTGCTTGAATTTTAAAGGGTCAAGATGTTGGTTCCAGATCTCGTTTAATTTAAACTGTAGTACCTGATGAGAATCAGAAATAATCAGTGGTTTGTTTGGTTTTTGAATTAAATCAAAACAAGTATAGCACCAAAACATATTCTATGTGATGCAATTTATAATGAAAAAGGAAATTTCACTGTGCAATCTCTCAAGTTACCCATTATGGGTGAACACCTGAAAAGAACTACTACTAATAACCTTCAATCATATTATCCATTTTTGCCCGTTTACCATCCTTACACTCACATAAGCATCGATGTCAGTTGTAAGAACGAAATGGCCCACGAGGACACAAATAGATGCAATGATTCATAATTTATTAAACAAGGTATTTTACCGTTTAACGCCCTTATAGAACGTCTATTGTCCTAATATTGATACATTGGTGCAAGTGAGTATAATAATATTTACTATACTTAATTCATCCTGTAACCTGCAACCGTCCTTGATGGTTGTTTACTTAAATGCATAGACATCTTATGTGGTAAAAAAACCTTTACATGGTATAAGTAGTAATTTGTAAACCGTTTGCTACCAATAGGTAAGGGAAGCACTCGGTGGTCTAAACATCATTAGTCATTGTATAAACACGACTTAATGATCTTTAGGTGGCTAATAAGATTTACATGTAAATACATTCAAAATGCATCTTGTTTATTATGCTGTAAAGTATATCTTCAACTTCAACATTTTTCCATGTTTTGGTCTAGATATAAAAATACATGATATGCGCTCTATAGACGCAACATAGATGACAAATTATGTCCAGAAATGTTGCTACGTAAAGTGGGCTATACGTATACCTAGTTGAGTAGTACAGATTATCTAGTGTTGGAATCTGTGCTAGTAGAAAGGAAGAATTTGAATACAACTTCGGAACGATCAACCACTGGGTAGATGTAGGTGAGTTCAGAATTCGTTATAAGTAATAAATTTCTTAGTTGATACTCCTCTAGGAACTCTTTACGACAACAATTGCAACATGTATGAGCCCACAATACCATTTTATACTAGTGTTGTACAGTTATATACACAAATTAATTACATTTAGCTATGTTGACTGTTTAGTCGGATAATATTTTTGTAAGGGTCTTTACGTTAACACTCGCTACTCTTGGTTTTATAAAACTTCTAAGAATATTAATTGACTGATCTGATCGACTACTAACTACAACTGTACGTATGTAAGGATCTTAGGGGTCCTACGTTGTGTTCTACTACGGCGGTTCTTTTTAGCGCATTTCCACAAAAATTAAAAAAAAATGCGCTATTGTGGCCACTTTGTCCGTCCGTCCGTCCGTCCGGCTGTCCGTCCGTCCGTCCGTCCGTCCGTCCGTCCGTCCGCTAACTTTGCGACGCTACTAGTTCTTTATCTTAAGAGCTATTGTTCTATTTTTTTCGCTATTTGGTTCGTTATGGTGTCGAGTCTTGTACCAAGGAAGGAATTTTTTCTGTACCGCTTACAAAAAAAGTTATTGTAAAAAAAAACAAAAAACCGTTTTTTACATGTTCCATAATTTTACACTTTTGCCGTTTATTAACGATCCTAGAGATCGTTTATAATTTTGCATTGCTATCTGTCGCCTGCCGGTTGGTCTCTCCGTCTGTTCCTTTGTCTGTCTGTCCATCTATCTGTCCGTGTGAACGATAACTTTGTTTAAAAATGTTCGATCGCTTTTACATCTCCGTTAGTTATGAACTGAATTGCATGAAATTCAATATGGGCATAGATTTAGCCATAATAATACGCAATGCCAAAAGTTGAGTCGAATCGATTCAAAATTCACAGTGCCCTTTTCGCATCTCGACCATTTATAAACCGAATTGCAAACTTTTTTTACTTATAAAAGTATTTGAATGAAATTTGATACATAGGCACTTGGAATAAAGGAAAATCAAACGCCAATTTCAAAATTTGGTTTTGCGCATGCGCAGTGCCAAATTTTTTATTTATGGAAGAATTTAAACGAAATTTGATACATAGGCACTTGGAATAAAGGAAAATCAAACGCCAATTTCAAAATTTGGTGTTGCGCATGCGCAGTGCCAACTTTTTTATTTATGGAAGAATTTAAACGAAATTTGATACATAGGCACTTGGGATAAAGGAAAATCAAACGCCAGTTTCAAAATTTGGTTTTGCGCATGCGCAGTGCCAACTTTTTTATTTATGGAAGAATTTAAATGAAATGTGATACATAGGCACTTGGAATAAAGGATCATCGAGCGCCAGTCTCAAAATTTTCTTTTGCGCATGAGCAGTGCCAACTTTTTTATCTATGGCACCATTTAACTGAAATTTGATACTTAGGCGCTTGGAACAAAGGAAAATCTAACATTAGTTTTAAAATTTAGGTTTGCGCATGCGCAGTTCCAACTTTCTTATTTAGAAAAGCATTGAAATGAAATTCTTCTCATAAACTGAAATTGAAGTAACACGTCAAAAATGGATTGCCCATGTGCAACGCTATCTTTCATATTTGTGGTCGGATTTTTACGATTTTAACAGAAGTTGCATCTTATAAATGGGAAATGAATGCAAGTGGAAATGCGCTTTATGTAAATCGTTTACGATTACTTTTTAACTTGTTAAGATATAAGGTTGCAAATAAAATGGGAAAGAAATGAAGAATTATTTTTTTATTTTAATTAATAAGTAATAATAAAACGCGGCACGAATAAATTTAAATTAAATGTAGGTTGATGATTCCTTGTTATGTGTTGTGACGTGTGACAAGGGAATTAAATGAAACTTAGAGCTTTATTGTGCGTAAGAAAAGACAAAAAATGAAATATATTACGCACACAAAAGGCCAGGAAAAAACCTTCATTGGACACTGGCATAACACACACACACACACACACACACCCTCACACATTGCAAGAAATAAATTAACTATTTATAACAAGAAAATGCAAGAGAAAAATACACAAATCAAACATACCACATTGTGCCATATATATAATTATCGCTTAAAAGTAGCGAAATGCCGAAATCCCAGTTCAGCTGGGGACTCGTTACCACACATGGACGGATGGACAACGATCCAAACCTAGAAATAATCTGAAGGTAGCAAATAATGTAGCTCAGACACATAAGAATTCTGATCTTTAAGCCATGTGGACTGATACAATGTGTCGTTGAGGAGAAGGCAAAACAAAAAAATCTACTACTTGGTATAAAGTTATCATTTTTTTACAATCTACATTTTGTATACAATGGATGGATAAATTATACTAGGTAGGTATATCTGAAATTCATACCAAAATAAAAAATTGAAGGTATTGGGCGAATCCTTAATTTTATGTTTATGAATTTGTCACATGTAATACGCATAATTATTCGAACAGTCATTTACAGAAATTCGTCTAGCTACTACACTGATTTGTTACAATTTTACTCATTCTATAACTATTAATACTGATGTATTTTAACGTAATATAATACAAAACGAAAGATTGCTTTAATTAGTACCAAATACCTACTTATTGCTATTTCACCAATACAAGTATAAATAAACAACGATATAGCCTCAAGGAAGTACATATATACAAATTGATCACAGTTTTCTAAAAACTTAACTAGAACTTGTATATCACTTTCTGTTAATACTCTATTAAAGATATAAATTATCAAAACATCGTATCTTTCATTTATCCCCATAACATTCACTACCTACTTCAAAAATGATAGCATTTATAAAAATAACAAACAAAGTTACAGTGCATTATCGCATAATTTTGGCTGCTTTCTCTCTATCTCTTTCCACTTCAAATGGATGCATTCGTTTCCTATGCGAAAAACAGTTTCCCGAACTAGCGAAGGCCTTTGGACAATATGGGCATTGATAAGGTCTCGCGCCGGTATGTTGATTAATATGAAACTGGAAGTAAATAATACAAATTCAATCAGTAACAATAAAAAAAGATAATTTTTATTAACAAGTCGTAATGTATCCAGACGCCGATATATAGAGCCAGATTTAATCTTTTGCCTCCCTTAGCTGAAATTCCGCGCCCTTTATGGTGCGCTGCAGGTAGGTACTACAAAAAATGATCGTTTTTGGCATTAAAAATATCTAGCTCACATTTCTCTCACATGAAGTACTATTTTTCATACGTAACTTTTGGCACTACAACGGTAAATAAAAGAAATGACGTCTAGCAAGTATAGCAGCAGGGATTGTGGTGATTTTGAACAGAGCTGGACAGTATTCGATATTCAAATCCTTTAAAGTATTCAAATACTTTGTAATTAAATACTTTTATGGAAGCAGTATTTGTTTTTGTAACACAAATACTTTCACAAATATTTAGTTTTCGAATAAGCAAAGTATTTGGATACTTCGTAAAGTGTACCTTCCTTTTTTACCACAAATCGACTACACCAAAATTTTTCGGGAAAACACTTTTTCTTATTAATTTTGGTGCGTAGAATCCAAAACAATTCGTACTTTTTCGATCAGACTTCTCAATCAAAAGTTATAGACTAGAAACCAATTTCGAAAGAAAATTCAAAAGGCTGTAACTTTTGAACCAGTAGCCCAATCTTGGAACTGTTTGAAATTATGGATTCTACAGGCCACATTCTATAAGAAAATTTTTTTCCGGGTCGATCTGAGACAATATTTTTTGCGGGCCTCAAAAAAAGGCAGTGTAAAACCTTTCTTTTTTTACCAAAAATCGACTACACCTAAATTCCTCGGGAAAACACTTTTTCTTATTAATTTTGGTGCGTAGAATCCAAAACAATTCGTACTTTTTCGATCAGACTTCTAAATCAAAAGTTATAGACTAGAAACCAATTTCTAAAGAAAATTCAAAGGGCTGTAACTTTTGAACTAGTAGCCCAATCTTAGAACTGTTTGAAATTTGGATTCTACAGGCCACATTCTATGAGAAAATTTTTTTCCGGGTCGATCTGAGATAATTTTTTTCTCGGGTCTCAAAAAAAGGCAGTGTATAACCTTCCTTTTTTACCAAAAATCCACTGTACCAAAATTTCTCGGGAAAACACTTTTTCTTATTAATTTTGGTGCGTAGAATCCAAAACAATTCGTACTTTTTCGATCAGACTTCTCAATCAAAAGTTATAGACTAGAAACCAATTTCGAAAGAAAATTCAAAGGGCTGTAACTTTTGAACTAGTAGCCCAATCTTGGAACTGTTTGAAATTATGGATTCTACAGGCCACATTCTATAAGAAAATTTTTTTTCCGGGTCGATCTGAGACAATTTTTTTTTCGGGCCTCAAAAAAAGGCAGTGTATAACCTTCCTTTTTTACCAAAAATCGACTGCACCAAAATTTCTCGGGAAAACACTTTTTCTTATTAATTTTGGTGCGTAGAATCCAAAACAATTCGTACGTTTTCGATTAGACCTCTCAATAAAAAGTTATGGACAAAAAACAAATTTCGAAAAAAAATTCAAAGGTCTGTAACTTTTGATCTAGTAGCCCAATCTTCAAACTGTTTGAAATTATGGACTCTCGATCGATCTCGATCTCAGACAATTTTTTTTCCGGCCTCAAAAAAATGCAGTACTTTTAAGTTATTCAAATATTTGAGAACAATTTAGAAATGTTTAGGGAAAGTTTCCATTGTCACAAAATAAAATATAAAAATCCGATACATCTGAATACCGAACTCGATAGTCTACGTAACTTAAAAACAATGGGGACCTTTCTTATATCCTTAAAACCATGTGTACCAATTTTCAAAGCGGTCGCACGTTTCTAAATAAGTTATCATGAACACGGAGAAACGGATGGTCAAAAATGGATCTGTTCCAAAATCGCTAGGATTAATTTCAGAAAGGCGTACGTATCATGTGCACGACGTACGATCGCTTTGAAAACTGGTACACGTATTCTTAAGGATATAACTGGTATAAGAAAGGTCCTGGTAGGTACCTCCTATATAATAATATAATAATAATAATACGCTTTTACTCCCCTTAAATTTGTATATAACAATAGAAATATAAAAAAGCTAACCCCATACAAAGTATAACTTGATTTTTTAAGTAGTATTAAGCCTTTTATCTAGTATACTATTTTAAATTTTTAATGTATTTGAGTGACAAGTATTTGAATAGGTACTATAAATATTACTGTATTCGAATACTTTTTAATGTAAGATAATGAAATACTTTTAAAAGTATTCGAATACTTTTTATAGTATTCGAATACCTATGATAGTATTAGAATACATTTGAAAGTATTCGAATACATTCTAAAGTGTTTGAATACTTATTTTTTTAAGTATTTGAATACTTTTCAATGTATCTGTATCTAGTATTCGCTTGTGCTGGACGTAAAAGTATTTAGTATTCAAATACCTTTGATTTGTGTAAAGTATTTACTATTTAGTATTCAAATACTTTTTGAAAGTATTCTGCCCAGCTCTGATTTTGAACGCCATGAATCAATGACCAATAACGTAAAACAAACATAAAAATAACAAAAACAATTAAGACTCATTTTAACAGGACTTTCAACTAGATTCAGTTATTTTCCGATGATGAGACATACCGTTTGTGATTTTTGTCTCTTAATAATAACAAGTAATAATAAAATATTCTGAACCATTTCGAAAATCCTATATATTTGACATCGTTTATCACTAAACCAGTACAAACTAAAAGAGGCATTTTTCAAAACGATTGTTTAATTCCGATTTGGTTTTGTCTTACTAACTTTTGTTACAACATTTGAACATTAAACATAACCGCGAAATACATCATTACAACATTATACACCCGTTTTACATGGAAGATCTTAAATTGAGAAAAAAATCACCAAGATCACTTTTTTTAAATATAAATAACATTAAATTTGTAATCCTAGATTAATGGGCTGTAATTATTATTGCGATGGCTTTGTACTTTTGCAAAAAAATTATTTATTGAACTAAAAAAAATAGAATGTAATACGTCAAGGTAAAAGTAAAAAGTAAGTAGATATATGAAAATCTACCTAAAACCTAGGTAAGACCATTAGTTCTTCTACGTAATGTATGTGACAACAAATGTTTGTTTTGGTGTCTCTATATCACTCCTCTATCTATGCATTTTTTGCATGTTTATTGTTAATTTGAAGACCGCAAAGTGTTATCTACACGTTATCGCAATATAATAATATCTTTATCTATATGTTATCTTTATGGCAAAAAAAGTGAAAATCGGGTTCCAAATCGGGTACGATTTTCCAAGATAGCGCCCGTAGCACAGCATGCACCAGTGCTTTGGATATGTTAATTGTTACTGGATGCTAGTACTACGCACATCCAAAGTTTCCCCTATTAGGGAACTATTTCTGGGTAGCGGGGCATATTTTTGCCTAATATGACTTCTTTATGTGTGAAAGAGAAGAGGCCTCTGCCTCAGTTGAAAATTTAAGTGCCGGCGGGATTTAGTTTCTCTGAGAAGTAAATTCGAAGAAACGGTCAAATGTTTAGGAGAAAAGGTTATAACAGCAAAATAGTTAAAGTTAAGGGTATACTTATGTTACATAAAAAATAAGTACTCTGTTTTCAATTCTTCAATATATGAGGTGTTTTTTACTGCTACATTTTTCCCGATATCTTTTATGATAGGAATTATATTCGCAACGTATCGTTAAATTCTCAGAGAGGCGTACACACTACACTTGAGTACACACATTTTTCCTTTACCTATAAATGTAATTTAAGCTTTGTAGGTAAATAAGTAAAGGAATGTGGAGTAGGTGTACTGTAGTATTATTTGTGTCGAAAGTCATTTTGACCATTATAGTAATACGGTCGTATAAGAGGAAATATGGTGGCAAAACTGAAAAAGTCACCAGAGGAGCAAAGAACATATGTGAGGAAGCCAATGTCGAATCTCTACCGAAAGCACATAATTAATAATCGAATTTAAATGTACAAAATTATAACTAATAAATTTGAATCAGTCAAATTTACTAATTCTCGTTCGTTAATTGGTTTTTAGAAACTATAGTAAACTCCAAATTGGTAGGGTAAGCCGAGTAAGCGCAAGACCGATGACGATCACGGTCTTAGGGTTGAAATTTAAAATTTGAGTTCACTTCAAATACCTAGAGCCACGCATTCTCGTAAACGACAAGTATACTTTTTTGGCTTGTAGTTCAACCTACCCCTTTAATTCAGGAGATGATGTGGTTTCTTGCATTTAATTATATTAAAGTAATGTACGAACTCGATGTTTTAGTAGTAGGTATGTCGTCAAATATAAATAGGTATCATGGAAGCATTTTAGAATCGTAATCTCAACCGAATTAAATACAAAAGAATCCTAATTTCCAATCTCAGAGGTTACTTACTTTCAAGTCTTGATTTCTCTTAAAAGTTTTAATGCACAATGGACACTTATGTGGTCTGAGGTCGCTGTGCGTGATGGAATGAGCTCTTAGGGTGCTGTTTGTTGGATACACTCGCCCACAGACGACACATGGAAATTGAATGCCTTCGTGGTATTCCTTATGCCGATAAAGATTGCATTGTGTTTTGAATCTACAACATTGTCAGTTACCACAGAGAAAGGTATCGGTCAAGTAATTAAAGGTACTTACATTCTGCCACAAATCTCGCATCCATATTTTCCTTTTGGTCGATGTGTTTCCAAGTGCACCTTTAAATTTCCCTTGGTAGATATGACTTTCCCGCATATTGGACACGTGAAACGAAAGTTGTTTTCTTGGTCTATTTGAACTGTCTCAGAATTACCGTTTTCGGATGTTTCACATTCATCGCTGGTAGTACTTGAAGCACTTTCAGACATTAGACGTGTGTTACAATTTTTTTCGTCACTGTTTGCTTGCCATTCCCAATCTGTGTTGTTAATGTTTAATAATACTATATGTTTGTTCTGAGGTATGTGATTCCACATATGACTTTGAAGTGCAATTTCTGAAGTAAAACATCTAGGGCAAAAACTACAGTTGTACAATGTTTGGTCAACATCGTCACAATTAGTTGATAATTTGTCAATAGACGCGTGACTTTCAGGTAAACTTTCAGTGTCGGATGCACCATCGTTCGAAGAGTCATCAGAACATTGAAGGATTAGCATGGGATCTACCTTAACTTCCATTTCTGTAACTTCCTCTTTTTCTTTAATTCCCTACAATAATATTTGGGTCATTACAAAAATTATACGCAAATTAATAATACCTTTGTAAGATATGTATGTAATAAGCCTTTATTTTCATCCTTATATTCGTCATTAAACGAACTATCTGACGAATTGATGACAAGTTGATTAAATTTATCTTGTATTTTTACGGCCATTGTAGCAAATTTATGAATACCTTCCAGTTTTTTACAGCAACTCTCACAAATCATTTTTGGCAATTTATCGTCGACGGAAATCTAAAACAATAACATTAATACATTTAGGAGAAAATTTTACAGTAAACAAACATACGCAAATACAACTACTACAATTGCAATATGGCTTTAACGTCCTACCTTTATATACAAATATTTTCTAATCTTCGCTTGTAAATATAATTTTTTTCCTTCTTCTCCAAAAACCAAAACGCCATTTTCAAGCTCAGCTGAACAAATTCTACATGTCTGAGCAAACAGTCGTTCCGAATCCATTTTCACTCATTGATTGGGTTTTCTATGCACTGTTCAGCCCTTTAATCAAAAATCCTTCATCTCTAAGAACTGTAATCATTCCTTCGTCGTCGTCGTAAAAACGAGTATGCGCTAATAACTCTTATTGCGCACACACAGAATAGGTACAATTTATACAGTTTCTACTGCGTGCTTTTTAAAAATCTAATTCATGCACCCCTAAAGGTGAACTTGAAAAAAGTCATTATTACAGAACCAAGTCTCTGGCGCTTCGTCATCTCTACCTTTTGTGGCCCGAATTTAGTCTACGCGATTTATTACAGCCCACATATTTCGAAATAGTGGAAATCGAATCCATTTCGGGTAATAATTTTTAATTGACACACGTCAAAACACACGTGCACTCTATTCCCGCCATTCTGAAATGAGCGCGCGCACCAAAAAACCCTTAAAAGATGGAGTTCAAATCAATACAATTGCACAATTAAAGCAGACGAACCATTGAACGAATTCACCTTTTTAAGTGAAATGTCTTTCTGACCGGCTTCCCCTAAATGCTTTTGTTTCGCGAGGTCACTTTAATTGGGAAGTTGCATGAAAGCTGGCTCATCTTCACTAATTCACAGATAGCTCACACTTTAAAGCGACTAATGTTTTTGGTATAGGTGTAATCTAGATTGGCGACACGCAAAGATTTATATCTGCCCAAGACGGCTTGGTAAATGTCTATTTCAATCCTTATTTGTCAGATGAAGGATTCAATTAATGTTGTAGAGCTTCTTTTGTATCGCTGAACGTATTGAGTAGTCCATCTTTCGTTTGGCAATAGTGCTATATAGTTGATGGTGTTTGTCCTAACAGTGATTGTAAGATAGTAAGTGAAAGTATGAATTATTATCACTGCTTTTTGATATACCTACCAGGGCAAAAAAAGTGAATTTGGAGTGTGCGCAATTTACACTAACTTGTTCATTGTCGATAACGATATCATAAATAAGTATGTGTAGTTGTAATTATGTTCATTTACGTTTTCGATCTCATTAGTGTCCTTCGGAATAAGTATGACTTGTTAAAGAATCGATACGGGCAATTCGTGTCGGAGGGGAATTTTCGCGGACTTGTGATATATAACACAAAATACACGTGCTCCCGTTAGAGCAGTTCAGAAACCGGTGGTGACAGTGAACGGAATTTGAGTAATTTCCTTTCAAAATGAACACCCAGAATATTATTTCACGAAAGCAAAACGGAATTGTTCAACCCCTTTTAACAGGTATTCTTATATATAATCTTACATATTGTGTTCAACGAGGCGACGAGCTCGAATACATTTTCGATCAGTTCATAATTGTTCATGATTAACAAGTTATTCTGTTATCTTCAATTTGAATTCAGCGGATTAGCGGCGTTTCAGTACAATGAAAAGTTTTTGTTAGACAGTCATGAACACTTCTGCACTGCAACGCTAAATAAATGCCAAGAAATGCGTTCTTCTATTAATCAGAAATTTGCAGTTTTTAACATTGCGCCTTTGTTAAAATTTGAGAAGCTGAAAACATTGTGTTTTGAATCCTAAGTTGATTGTTGGTGTAGTAACTTTATCTCTTTAGTGTCTATTTCGTGTTCAATTCTGATAATCTTTGCGTAATTCAGTTACATTGCACCCAGCAGTATATAGTTGAATAGAATTATTATCTATAGATATTTTTAATTAGGGCAGGTCACAGTAATAAATGTCTACGACACTTCTTAGGGAAGAAAAATCATTGGTTTTGAAGAATTATAAAAAAAGTTAATTGTTTATTATGTTTTCAGATTTGTACCAAATCACTATGGCATACGCGTATTGGAAAACGGGGAAAGTGATGGATAATTCGGTCTTTGATTTGTTTTTTCGTAAAAATCCGTTCCAAGGCGAATTTACAATATTTGCTGGTTTAGAAGAATGTTTAAAGTTTCTGGAGGCCTTCCATTTTTCTGAGAGTGGTACGTATTTGTCTAGTGCTCAATATCCACTAGGCTTACCATTTTCGAACCTGCATACATACAATTCAAATATATTTCATATTACCAATTATTCAATGATATTACTTAAAGTAATGTGTTCATTTAAATAAGTTGGAGGAATATCATTGTAATTAAGTTTTAACTTGATTAAATAGTCTTTTGCCTTATATCGCGTAGGTCTTTATAAAACTAATTACAGATATTGAATACCTAAAACAAACAATGCCGTCGGTCGAAGACGATTTTTTTGTATTTTTGAGCAACCTATCGGCAAGGGACGTTGTTATATACGCGTTAGATGAAGGAACTGTTGTATTTCCAAGGTTCTTACAAAACAATTTACTTGCAATAAGTATACATTAAACGGTGAACATTTTAGAATTCCACTTATAAGAATAGAAGGCCCTTTAATAGTAACACAGCTGTTGGAAACGACCTTTTTAACTTTGGTGAACTATGCCAGGTATGCGTTTGCTTTTAGGTAACACCTTAGCGCTTACTTATTTACTCATTTATTTCCTAGTTTAATGGCAACGAATGCTGCTAGATATCGAATTGCTGCTGGTAATTCAAAGCTACTAGAATTAGGATTACGACGAGCACAAGGGCCTGACGGGGGTCTATCCGCCTCAAAATATTCGTATATAGGTAAGTAAAAAAGGGAAATATTTCAGGTGCCCAACGAGATCTTTCAAATAATATTTTCGCCAACTTTTCACTGGTAAAATAATGTCGATTTCGTGTTAATCCTTTCTTATTAAATTTTTTAAGCATTCAAGTTATCCATAACTTCTATGACACTTTTGACGGTACCAGCCTTCAATCCTGGTACGGCCAATTTTTCACCTGCATTTGTTAAGTATCTGTTACAAATGCTATAAAAGTTTTCACAGTTTACAATAGCGTTACAAATATTGATTAGAAGACATTAGTTCACACCGCCTGGTACCAAATAACTTTTTATTACTTTATCTCTCAATATGTTTCCGATTTAATTATGCTGAAATTACTTATACCTAATCACTTTTTCAGGAGGTTTTGACGGCACCAGTAATGTCTTGGCTGGTAAACTGTACAACATTCCAGTTAAAGGAACCCATGCACACGCATACGTTACTTCATTTACTAATTTCTCTGAATTACATACACGTATTTTACACTCAAAAAATGACGGTAAACCTTATGACTTTGTACAGTTGGCAATAAAATGGAGATCTGAACTGGGTCCTTTATTTAAAGTGGTAAACGCAGAAGTAAATGATGGAGAATTGGCCGCTTTTATTTCTTTCGCAATGGCTTTCCCAGACCAATTTATGGTCTTAGTGGACACATATGACATTGAGAGGTACCCTTTCCACCTAACATATAATACCTTCATCCCTCGTCAAAAATGTCTGCCCAACACTCCTATGCATAGCAAGTACAGGTAAACCTGCATGCCAATGTTATATATTTACTTGCATGCAACATACCTAGTTGGTCACTTTCATAATTAAGATGATTAACAAACGCTAAGGTGATGGCAGTTATACTGACCCTGCAACTAAATCCAGATCATTCTAAAAAGAACAGCGTGAAAAATGGATTTACACTATTATTTGTTAATCCATCTTCATATACTAACATCAGCTTGTAAACAGATGAACCTGTGCTCGCTATGTGAGATAAAAACTCTCTCACAGGCGAAGTGTTTGACAGATGATACCATCATCAGGGCTCGCTTCTTCATTTTTCTCTTGCTTTAAGAAACAGATCTCATGCCAATGTTAAGTTTTAGTTGTAGGCCGATATGCACATTTGGGGTTTAGTGTCTATAACACTAATGAATAACGGATCAATACAATCAATCAATACAAATCAATGCCGTATAGCGGAAGAGTCTGGCACGTACGAAGGAAGCACGTTTGAGCAAGTGTGTTTCAGTTCATAATTCGTCGGATCTAACACATTGATTTCCATTTCAATCTTGCCTTACTGTTTTAGGTCACGAACGTTCTTACTTAGTGATATGTTTTTCACAATAATTCAAATCTCACTTATCAATTGAGCAACAGTATTATAAACAATGAGCGATAAAGCTAATATTTGAAGAATACTTTCTCAATTAATCATTTTTAAGGCTCATAACCAAAATTCTCCTACTGCAAATTCAACCTGTCTTTTACGTTGGTACTTATTTCGGGTACCACTTAATAAACTGAATTTTTGCAGTCATCTCATCAGACGTTGAACAGTTTGTCAAACTTTTGTACTCGATTCTGAACGCTAATGTAAATGTACAATATTCAGTTGCTTTACGATCTCCTCAACATAATCTGGAACAGAACAAAACGTTCTTCAAAAGCTTTATATAATTTGTACTAAAAAAGTTAAGAGAAATTTGGTAGTTGAGCTTCTCAAATCAATTGTAATTGGCAGATGTAAACTACGTATCAACTGTTTTCTCTCTACGTTATCCAGGAACTGTTGTAGCTGTTGCGTAAAGTTCTATTTTTCACCTTCTTACATAATGTGTAATTGAAAGACTTGTTTAGAAAGTTGTACATCGTCATGGACCATGGTAGAAGGATTTAAAATCGAAAAGGTATATACGAATTGACACTGCGCTATAGGTCATGTATGAGCTTGGCTTTTTATGTAAATGTAATGCTTTCTTCAACATGGCTTGTGATCACGACTTAAGGATGCGTTGTGCTACGGCCGGACATTTCCATATTTGGTACCTACCTATCCAAGAAACTTAAAAGAATATCTTTTAGCTAAAATATGAACGCATTAACAAATTCACACCATAAGCTTCATAGTAGAGTGCATGTTTTTTAGTAGCCAGATAACGTTGTAATATTTTTGTTTAAAAACTTATGAATTGTAGAAGTGGACTGCTGAACTTTTGTGCGGTAACTTTGGCTCTAAATGATTTGGCTTTCCAAGCGATTGGAATCCGTATAGATAGCGGAGATATAGCTTATCTTTCATATGTTGCTCGCGAATACTTCTCTAAAATAAGCACAAAATACGAAATACCATGGTTTAAAGATCTAATTATAATGGCGTCAAACGATATAAATGAAGAAACTATTCTTAGTTTAAATGACCAAGGGCATAAAATTAATTGTTTCGGAATAGGAACCCATCTCGTTACATGCCAGAAGCAACCTTCCTTGGGATGCGTGTATAAGTTAGTCGATTTAAATAATGTACCAAGAATGAAACTAAGCCAGGATGTTGCGAAAGTTTCTCTACCAGGGCGAAAGGATGCATACAGGTTGTTCAGCGAACGTGGAGATGCCTTAATTGATTTATTAGTACAAACAGATGAAGAACCACCCAGCGTGGGTAGTAAAATCCTATGTAGGCATGCATTTGAAGAATCGAAAAGGGCATATGTAACACCAAGCAAAGTTGAAAAACTTCATAAGCTTTATTGGAAAGATGGTTTGATTTGTAGACCACTTCCAAATTTAGAAGAAATTCGTGATAACGTGACAAGAAGCTTGAAATCTTTACGTTCCGATATAAAACGAAATCATAATCCCACACCATATAAAGTAAGAACATTAAAATACAAGACACGAATACTTTATAATCGTTTTTTAGGTTGCTGTAAGTGATAATTTATATAGTTTCCTTCACAATCTTTGGATGGAGAGTGCCCCTATTGGAGAGCTCACTTAATGATGTGTACACGGAAGTTGGCAATCCTCAAGAATATAATCTTGTTTGTTCGCATTTTAAATTATGCGAATGTGAGAGTTTATAAATTTTTCGATTTTCGAATCGACAATGTATTGTGTTGAGTGTAACATAAATGTACAGTTATACGTAGTAATAGAAACAAATACGTCCATTCTATGTATTTATAAATTAGTTCGGTATAGTAATTAAACCTTTAGTAGTCTATCAATAAAATGCTTGGTAGAAAGTTAGCAAAATGGGACTGAAATTGAAAATTGTTGAAACTGTACCAGTGTCTTTATCTGTAAGCAATATATCTGACTTAAAAAAATGTTGACAACGATCAACCTTCAAGTACATATTGAAGTATTTCAACTTTAGTGCATCTTAAAGTTGGTCCTAGTCCCATTTCTTTCGGTTGTTTGAATGGCTCCCGAATTTCAAGTTGGTCTGCTTCTAATCGCTGCATGCTATTTTTTCTACTTAGTGAATATTGTTCTTTGATCCAACAGCATTTCGAGTAGTACTGATTTGAACTAAATTATTTACATTGTATCCAATCTCGCGCAGCGAATTAAAAGCCTAAAGTCTGCAATGTTTCTTATTTTCGTTATTTATTTTCAGCTTTGATGAAATGGTTGTGTATGCGAGCGATTCCAATCTTGGGAATCAAGCTCACCTATCCATTGAACTCATTAAGCTACCTTATTATTCGCAGTCTTTAGAAACGAAAACTGGCGAGTAATTAGATATAGGTAATACAGACGGTATCACAGGTATTTTGAAAATTCAAATTATTTTCGCAGTCCAATACAGATAAGTCAATCAATTGGTACCACTGAAGGAATATGTATGCAAAACAAAACGAAAAATTTGGAGATCATGTGCCATACGTTCTTCAAGGTGTAGGCTATCCATTGCAAACAGGACAAATTCCTGGAAAGTAGTTCCAAACTGCAGTCCTGCGCTATTATTTGAAATTTTGGTGTAAAGTAAGTACTTGATTGTATATAATCAAAGCGTAAGTAGCATAAAGATTTCCCGATGAAATGCGGGTGGATAATATGGGTGGATAAATAAAGATTTCGCTATACCAACTTAACTGGCAAAAGGTGCATGCCAACGACTGGCCAAGAGTGCCAATAATTGGATATTTGCGAATTTTGTACGTTTGCAATGTATTTATTAAAAGGTTACCTACCAATAGTTTTTCAAACTGATTTCAAAAACATTAAAATATATGCAACCACGCATGTTTGATAACCTTTTCCAAAAATGTAGGAAACCTGCCAATAACTGGGAAGTTTAACTCTTTTAGACGAGCTTTCATTAGTCACTTTTTTGTGAAGCGCAATTGTCTTATTAATAATAGTGGCGTCATCATTATGAGACATTGTGAAGTGCAATTGTCATAAATTTCAATGGGTATTGTGTGTTGCCTATCCCAAATACATCGATTCTTAGTGCGTAAAAAAGTAGTTATGGGGAGATTTGGGATTTTACATTAACTGTTTATTACATTAAACATTACGAACGTTTGCCATATAAATGTCTAACCGTTTATTGATGTATATGCAAAAATCGTAATTGGCGGCAAGCACTTAATCCACTCCTGGACCGTTCTGAACGTATACGATTCAAAATCATTCGTTTCCGCCAACCTCGTGAATATACGTAATTATAACTTAAAATTAAAAATGCATATGTACTTCAAATGCCCATATTTGGGAACAACTTTAACTAATTATTAGAGTGCTGACATCTAGACTGTATGATACAACAATTGACGGTGACTCACGCGATATTTTTGTGATGTTGCCTTCACGCAGCCGTATGTCCGCGTGGTGCGCGTCATCGAATGTGTATGACGAGTAGTATACCGGCGACGTGTGGAATTTCACGCGAAATAACGGAAAATGATCAAATCTATGTGGAAATGGCATACGTAGCAACCGCCCATCCTTATGAGTCCTCTTTTCTGATTAGTACTACAATCATTGTGCTCGCTTGATGTGTGACGTTCTTTTAATTTGTTTATGTGGTGTCGTTTTATATAGGTCAATATTTCGGTGAGTTCTTCATAAATAATTCAATTGTATTTACAAACAACAGAAATGTAAGGTTATTTCTACTTGAAAGCCCGTAATTGACGTTAATTCCGAAAATGCCGGTAATGTATACGGTTCGCCTGACGCATATAACGGTTATATTTTTATTTGGAGTAATTTTGTAAATTGTACGTCGATGCAATAAGTGCGGTTTATCGGGGGAATAACATCGGTATGTAACTAGAAGGTGGTATACCTTACTGTTAAGGGTGGGTGCGGATGGTCGCCGTATTTTTCTGGATTTATCGGAAGTCCGGAAGTTGAATTTCGTGTAACTACTTATATTCCACTGCTATCCACAAGAGCGAAGCTTACTAACTGGAAAATTGCAAATTAGTACGGCTAAATGTTTGGTAATTGTTGTGGACGATCTAAGAAATTAGATGTTGATGGGTTAGATAAAAAAAAAGTTGAGAATTGTACGTTAGATATTGGGGATTGTCAGAATAGGGATGATGATTTAAGGTCAAATAGTGCTCCCTCTATTATAGTTGATCAACCTGTTCAGCTAACGTCAATCTTAAAGAGGCAGTCTGTTATTTCGGATCCAAAGGTTGAGGATGACGACGAAGTTTTTTGTGAAGGTGTCAGTGATAACGTAAAATTGGCAAATAATTTAGGTACTCCTCGTGCAGTTAAGCTAAACGAAGATGTCACTCTTCCTCGGTGGTTTTCTGATCAAGAAGTTGGAGGCACACAGGAGCCGCCTGCAACTCCCATCGGACGTGATGAGTTAGCAATGAGGAGGCATAGATTTTTTTCTGATCTTCTAAGCGCTTCCCAAAATGCTTCCGAGCATAAAGTATGGTTTGACCCCCTTGGACCTGTTGTGGCCAGTGGTGAGCAAGCAATACTAACTGCACTTTAATCTGTAGTCTTATTGTTCCAATTTAAACACACGGCAACCGTAGAAAAAGTTTAAATTGGATTATTTATTTTTTATAAAGCACATTATTGCACTTCAGTTGATAGTGACCCACATTTGGCGTGATTTAATCGACACGCGATCGCATCTGTTCCGTAAAAGAATTGTGCATGCAGACGTAGGTCAAAACCTTTTTGTGTTTACCGCTTTTTAGTTTTGTTGTCTTCCAGTCGCTGCGGATAACTGAAATTCTCGCTCGAGTTCTCGCTTTGGAAAATTTCCATGGGCACTTAACGGTGGGAGACCGCTTTACCCCTTGGGAATTCAAAATCTCCTTCTGAGGAAGCCTTAAATGTATTTCAGGCAACAATCAATCGAGGGTTGACGGATGCACTTTCAAAAAAGCATGGGTGCCAAAACATGGACAAAAGAGGGTCCCGTGAAGCTGGCCGGGAAAAATTTTCGGCTTAAAAATGAACAAATGTACAGAGTGTTCCGTTTTCTGTTATTATTAGTGCTATTCAAAAAGTAATAATATAGTTACCTAGGCGTCATGTGCTCTTCTTGAGTCAAACTTAAATGGTAAAATTAAAATTTGAAAATGTTCGGTCTCTGTATGTTAATTAAGTTACATTCAAATATATAAGATTACGGTACTGGTAGTCGCAAAGTCACCATCGCAACTCACAAAAGAAATTACCGCTACACCCCAATTCGTCTCGCTTATGGAGGTGCAGTTTAACTCCAATAAAAATCCCCTGAAACTGGTATCTTTTTTAGGCAAAAATGCTTGCTTCAACACACCCGCTATTCCTTATCGCTTTGTTTCGAATCCATGTCTTTGTTATACTTGGACAACAAAATTTTCTTTTTATTAAATGAATCATTCTAATTAGTTCGCAATAATTTTTTTATGATACGTTCTGTCGTAAATACCTCGGGCCTCATGTTGTTTCGACTTCACGGGCTTTTTTTCTAAATTTTGTTTGTGTTTATTACTAATAATTCATTTATTGTCTCCAGTCACGCAACGTTGTTCCCGGTAGTACTCGTATATGAATGGGTAACCACATGGTCTACTATTTTAAAATAATAAAAATAAGGTTTTTATTTTGGGTTCATGGCTAATAAAATAAAAAAATAGGTTGTAATAAGGAAAACAATGCAAAACAATTGACGCCAAGCTACACAGAGTGTTGCAATTAAAAATACCAACAATGAGTCAAATCTCAGAAACGGTCTTTCAAAACTTTCTTACTACGCTACTGGGTTCTCCATAATAATATCTAAAATAGGTAGTTTTTACCCTTTTTTCTGTCTGGCATGTGTAATAAGATCCAATGCCGTCTCAATCAAAATATGACACGCGATACTTATCCACGATTAACTCATTTTCCTTCTACCTTTCTTTTTTCGGTCTTTTCTTTAGGAAAATGCGCGAATAAAAAATGCACATTACTATCGACGAGATATTTACATTGAAAAGTTTTTGAATGTCGCTTTATAATACTCAAGAAAGAGTCGATATGACACCTACATTTCATGAAAATCTTGCGAGAGTTAACCATAAATTTGGGTGGGAAATGACACGGCAGAAGACTGTGTAATTCGTATTTCCGTATGATAAAGGCTGCACTGTGTGCAGTTTTCGATTATGAATAAATTTTCTTCGTTTTATGGTACACTTGTAGTTGTACTAGTAAAGCAGGTATTGGAATTTTAATCGCTGTGTACCAATGGAATTAATCGAACAATACCGTTATCCTGTGACGCTAATGGTAATACGAAATAAAAATGTGTCTGAATTGATCAGATCTTTTATCCTTTTTAGTTGTCTATTACATCCTGCAGCAGATTTGAATAGGATTTTTAAAAATATTCTGTTCGGTCCCACTTTCGACGTACGAATTTTACAAGGATCACAATTTTGATTTAATTTCTTGCATTACCTTGAATTTTTCAAATATTATCCGTAAAATTGTCAAACTGTCTTTGCATTTCTCCAGAATTTGCACCAGTTTCGCCTATTTCCTCATATTTCCCAGCGGTTTCTTCGTATTAAAAACGCATGGAGCTCGCCATAATTGAAAACCTCTTGCCAAGGCTTTAACAATTTGGTATATTCGAATTCGTATTCGAAATTTTGAATGTAATGAAAATTCGAGTGAAAATTGTTGTCGTTATCTTCCTTGTAAAAATGGGCTCAAAGCGTACAAAGCAAAAGTGGGTGTTCAAATATTTTTGTATCTTACTGAGGTTTTTCTGAGGTATTTCCTCGGGTATTTCAGAGATCCCGCGAGGATTCTTCAGATAGTTGTGAAATACTTTTCAGACACTATAAGTATTCAAGGATATTTTATAGATTCCTCTGAGATTGTTGAGGTATTCTATGCAGATGTCTATGGAGGGTATCCATATTTCGATGCCTCTCAGTTCTTCTTCACAATATGTTTATTAACTATTGAGAGATTCTTCAACCGACGTCTATTTTCGAGATATTCACACGTAATTTTTCACATCACCAATACTTGGGATACTTGGGTTTGTTGATCAAAATAATAGTAATAGTAATTTCCGTTTTTCTTTAATGGGATCCTCGAGTTTCTCTATGATCATCAGCTCATTTAACTGTCTTCATCTTCAACAGTCATTGTGTCATGGACACCCTTCGTCAAAAACCAAGGTATTCTGCTATCTCTGGTTTGAGTGGCATGTAAACGATTAGCGAGCGTTTTTGAAAAGTTAGAAAAGGCATTCATATCTGAATTGGCGCGACTTTCGTCTTAAGTATTGAAAATAGCGTGGGAGTCGTCTATTTATATGGCTTGTTACAATATTTTTATTTATATGAAAGATTCGGAAAGCGTTGAAATGTTGTGCACAGTAATAGTGTGAATCGCCGCAGTCGCGTGTCCTTTCATTAGATCCCAAGTCGGTTACAAAATAGTTATTGACATTAAGACGCGTTGCGCAAAATCAAAGCCGCGAATAGTGCCAAGTCTCCCAAAAATACACCGATTTGGTCATATCCCGAAATATTAATAATATTAAATTTCAGTCGCGCCCCCTTTAACACTTACGTAACTAATTTAACTTTTGCAGATCAAGAGTATTACAATAATTTCTCCAATGATTTGGATTCGTTTGTAAGCAGACTTGAAGTGATTGCGGATCGTCTAGAAATAATTTTCGTTCCCATTTGCGAACTTTTGTAAGTACGTTTTTGAGTCCGGCAAATGGTCGTAACTACTGCCTTTTTAGAAAGCAAAATTCGCTATTCTTATTACAATCAACGTCGAACAAGTCTGAAGAAGTACGAAATATGAGTGTCGCCGGTTACCAGGATTTAATTCAAGGCTCCTTCGCAGATTACGTTAAATTGTCTCGAGAATTAGGCGGCGATGTTGCTGCACACGCCCTTATAGTAGAAAAAGCGTTTCAAGCTCAGCTACAGTTTTTAGTGACGGCTAGTCAATCGAGAAGTCCTTCACAGTCGGAGCAAATGTCTCTTTTACAGCCCACTAGTCAGCAGATTAGCGCCATTCAGGAGTTTAGAGAGAAACATCGTTCTTCGCCATTCTTCAATCACCTATCGGCAATTAGTGAAAGTATCCCTGCGTTAGGATGGGTTACTGTGGTAAGTTTTGATAGTAAGCGTTTGAAAGATATTCAAAGTCATTTACTTAGAGTCCGACTCCAGGTCCATACGTGAAGGAAATGCTCGATGCTGGCCAATTTTATACCAACAGAGTACTGAAAGACTTTAAGGAAAAGGATAAGAAGCATGTTGATTGGGTTAAAGCATGGGTTGGAACTCTCACTGAACTTCAGGTACTCCATTGCTTGTCTATCTGAAAAGACTACAAACATATTTTGTTTAGGTCTTCGTGAAACAGCATCACACTACTGGACTCGTATGGGCTGGCAAAAATGCACCTTCGGTTATTGGAGTTCCACCTCCACCTCCTGGATGCCCACCCCCTCCACCTTCCCTAATTGAGGATTTTTCAAATTTGGACACTGGAAATGACCGTTCTGCTCTTTTTGCTCAAATAAATCAAGGCGAAAACATCACAAAGAGTCGGTTATAAGAGTCAAGCCCTTCAAAAATTAATGTTTGTTGTTGCAGATTTAAAGAAAGTGACGGCGGATATGCAAACGCATAAAAATCCAACTCTTCGCACGGGTCCTGCACCTTTCATTCCACCCCAGTCGAATGTGGTATCTGGTGTTAAACCGCCTTCAGTTATCGCCGATAAACCACCCACCTTCCATAAGGAGGGTAAAAAATGGTTAATTGTAAGTTGCACTTATATCCCATGTACACAAGCTAATATGGCATTGTAGGAATATCAAAAGGGCAATCATAATCTCTTAATCGATAACGCAGAAATGAATAATGTGGTTTACCTTTACAAATGTACAGACTCTACCTTGACGGTGAAGGGGAAGTTAAATTCAATCACAATGGATTCTTGCAAGAAAACTAGCATTGTTTTTGAGTCTTTAGTATCGTGTATAGAATTTATCAACTGCCAATCTGTTCAGATGCAGGTTTTGGGCAAAGTCCCTACAGTGTCGATCGACAAGACTGATGGCTGCCAAGTTTATCTAAGTCCGGAGTCGAAAGATGTGGAATTCATTAGCTCAAAATCATCGGAGATGAATATTTTAGTTCCTAAACCTAACGGAGAATATGTAAGTACTATACGATCAAAAACGAGTTGCTGTCGTGCTTAACTTGAACTTCCAAAGGCGACTCGACCGCCACTCGTTTTTGATCGCCTGTTATATGAGACTGTCGATTTAACCCATTAAGGTTATGTAGAATTGTGGTATTGTGAACAGTTATTCATTCCTATGGGTCATTACGTTTTTGTTTTGTTTTCACCACGGTGTAAAATCAAGAGGGGTAGGTGAACTGCCTTGAGTTTTGAAATAAATGCAAGCTAGTGGAAGTGTGACCGACTGAGCCGAAGTTTTCTGCCTATTTGACATTACATCCACTGGATTCACTTCGTGTTTATACTGAGTCTATACACTTATTTTACACTGTGGTTTACCCTCCTCCTTTGCATATTAGATGAAATTTATCAAAGGTACGGTCCTGCAACTCCAAAATTTGTAACTTGAATTAGTTATTGTTTCTATAGTAGACGCCGATTGTTTTCAAGTGCAGGATCTATATGTACTAGTGACATGTTCAAACCTTTACATGACATGACCTTGCAAAAATCTATTACGTACTTAATTTTAAAGCTGGTATAAAAATGTGATTGAAATAAAACTGTTTTTTAGATTGAGCATCCAGTACCAGAGCAATATAAGACCGTCGTTAAGGGAGTTGGGCTCGTTACAACGGCTATAGAAAGCAAAGGCTAGAGAATCATCATTGCCAACATCTATTCAACAATTTTCATCTACAAATTTTATACAAATAATTATAGTACAGATGTAAACGTTAAACTTGTAATTTTTTTCCCTGCAGAAACTGTAAACGGCAGTGACAACTTGACAACTTTATTATGGAATGCAATTTACATTTTTGGTGATATATTCCCTACCTGATACATTTTAGCTGTCATTGAAAAGGTTGGTTGTGACATTGCTGATAAAACGTGCTGTCCAGTTCAACACATAACTACTTCATAATCATTGTCGATATATCTATATATTCAAATACTAACAGTTGAAGCACATCTTATCAGCACTATAATTGTATTTATATCCGTTCGTATATTAAGCAATCATTAACAACACTTTTTTGTTTTATAATTGTACCAAGCTTATTGCTTTTGTTATTAAAATTGTACATTTACATCATTACGTTTTTTTATTTGTAAATGATTGTGGTAGGAGTTTGCTGAAGGTATATTTATTCTAAAACCTAAAAGTGTCTAACCCATCAAGCATGAAATTCTACAAGAATTAATGAGTATGCAAAAGTTCGGGCAGTTACCAACTACACGCCAAAAAGTGTGCTCTAAAATGTCTGATTGTCAGAATGATTTCTATTTTTAGAAGATCTGTTCTTTGTGTTATTTTTTATTACCTATTTAATTTTACGTAAAACCTCATACAATTGCGACTAATGGAACACTATGGAGTTAAGTAGACACCCAAGTAAATAACTAACAGGTCGGAAGGAAGAGGGAATATAATATAAAACTAGCACCAGAAGGATATTAGGAGGCATTCGCAAGGAACCGGGTGGTGGATATAACTTGATCGGTTTCCTTTGGAATAACGTTTCTCACCATTCACCATCCAATTATTGAAGGGTTAGAAATTCTCAACCATAAAAACGTAGAAATAGACTGATATTGTCATCTGGTTTTTACTAACACTAATTACTGAGGGAGATCTATTCAACAGCATAATTTTCCCTCTGTGCAGTTCAAATTTTTAAAATGACAAACTTCACACAAGCGAAAACACCCTGGAGCATATTTTGAAGTGGTTTCAAGCACCTTGAAACATATATGAGTGTAGAGGATGTAGACTGTGAAATGTAGTATATAAAAGGTAGGTTATCAAAAACGAAGAACCTATCTGTGTAAAGCTACTATAAAATGTTGTTATATCCTAAAAAAATCAAAATCTTGCGTGAGAGTAAGTACTCAAAAGTCAAAGTAATTCAAAAGTACCAAACCTTTTCTCTAGTGTTTGAAGATCAGATCCCTTGATCAGGTTTTGTAGATAAACTCTTTGAGGTATTGATGAGAGCACCGTGAATTGGACGCAAACGCTCCTTCACCAGTTGATAATGATGTGCTGTCCCCCAATCGGTACTAGGAACAATCTGAATCTGCATCTAATTTTTCCATACCGCCCAATGATATTTATAGATTAATTTTAATGCTTCTGGAGACGCTGAGATTGTGTTGAGTACTAATTTTGAATAGATAAAGCAAAAAAAAGCCATTTGAATGGAACCTAGTCTATAAAGCAGCTCAATCGATCACTTTTCCTTGCTTCCAATCAGCGCTATGTATGTAGGTACATAAAAACCAGGTCAAAGTTTAGGTCAGGAGTTCCTAAACTATTTTGACCCAGAGACTTTCTTGCCAAAATGAACTGTACCTCAGACTTCCACACCCAAATTACTTTAAAAATTCTCTCTCTAGTTTTTATGTCGACCCCTGGGAAACTGATTTGGACCCCCACGGGTCGACATTGACCACTTTGGGAATGCCTGGTTTAGGTGAATCCGAAAGATGGGTCATCTATTATAACACATCTGAAGATAAAACCATTGAATTTATAGGTATTATCTTGGTGTAAAGAAACAAAAACATAATATCTGCATCTTGCATATACCTATAGGGCTTACTCGGCCTATGCATAAATCCATTTATGGGACATCCAGGTTTCACGGGCGAACAAATCCTGAAATGGTAAAATAGGTATCAAATTAATTCATGTTCGGCTCTTTCGTTACCGTAGAGTGATTTTTTAGCGCATTTCCACAAAAATAAAAAAAATGCGCTATTGTGGCCACTTTGTCCGTCCGTCCGCTCGTTTTGCGACGCTACTAGTTCTTTATCTTAAGAGCTATTGTTCTACTTTTTTCGCTATTTGTTTCGTTATGGTGTCGAGTCTTGTACCAAGGAAGGAATTTTTTCTGTACCGCTTACAAAAAAAGTTATTGTAAAAAAACCAACAAACCGTTTTTTACATGTTCCATAATTTTACACTTTTGCCGTTTATTAACCATCCTAGAGATCATTTATAATTTTGTATTGTTGTCTGTCGTCTGTCTGTTGGTCTGTCCGTCTGTTCCTTTGCCTGTCTGGCCCTCTATCTGTCCGTGTGAACGATAACTTTGTTTAGAAATGTCCGATCGCTCTTACATCTCCGTTAGTTATGAACTGAATTGCATGAAATTCAATATGAGCATAGCTTCAGCCATATAATACGCAATGCCAAAAGTTGAATCGAATTGATTCAAAATTCACAGTGCCCTTTTCGCATCTCGACCATTTATAAACCGAATTGCAAACTTTTTTACTTATAAAAGTATGTGAATGAAATTTGATACATAGGCACTTGGAATAAAGGAAAATCAAACGCCAATTTCAAAATTTGGTTTTGCGCATGCGCAGTGCCAACTGTTTTATTTATGGAAGAATTTAAATGAAATTTGATACATAGGCACTTGGAATAAAGGAAAATCTGGCGCCAGTTTCCAAATTTTATTTTGAGCATGCGCAGTGCCAACTTTTTTTATCTATGGAAGCATTTAAGTGAAATTTGTTACTTAGGCGCTTGGAACAAAGGAAAATCTAACATTAGTTTCAAAATTTAGGTTTGCGCATGCGCAGTTCCAACTTTCTTATTTAGAAAAGCATTGAAATGAAATTCTTCTGATAAACTGAAATTGAAGTAGTACGTCAAAAATGGATTGCCCATGTGCAACGCTATCTTTCATATTATTGTGGCCGGATTTTTAAAATTTTAATAGAAGTTGCATCTTACAAATGGGAAATGAGCTTTATGTAAATCGTTTACGATTACTTTTTAACTTGTTTTACTGGCCTGTAATCTATACCTACTCTATTTTATTTTTAGCGCATTTTCCAACGCATTTTGGAAGGCGCTATTATGGTCACTTTCTCCGTCCGTCCGACCGAGGCCTTAACTACTACAGCTTTCAAGATATTTAGTTCGTTTCTTTGCATTCGGTAGCTCTGGTACCTCTACCAAAAAGAATCTTGACGATTAGTGTCAATGTCAACTTAACTTTATCATTTTTCTTTAATTTTAACCAAAGATTCGTCTAGTAAAGACAGACACATCACATATTATAAAAATCAGATATGCGCATGAATGTCAACTCTCTGAAAACCTCCCTTTCATTTTTTGACAAATATTCCAGCCATTAAATAAAATATTGAACATATCATTTACAAAACCCGTTTTATTGTCTTTTTGTTACTCAAAATTCTTAGGTACAAGAAACGGTGGGTGCGATTCTTGATTAATATCTGAACTCCCTCTTACTTCGCTAACAGTAATTAACGTAATTTACGTACTATTATGTATTATCTACCTAAGGCTGAACGTTCCCAGTGCCATTCCTTCTGTTTAGTTGCGAATCATTATTTTCGGGCGTAGCTGATAATCATTTTACCGTATTATTAATATTTAAAGCAGTTGTAGTGGTCACACTTCGCTCAGGACCTATTTTGGAGCCGGTAGTAGTAAGTGAACGCCGAAGAAAAGCTAAATGAGGATAATAATGTATATTTTATTCAATTACATGACAGTTATGTGGCTTACGTTCTTCAATTCATTTGCATAGTAGACGTGTGTGTAATCCGTTTCCAAACTATGGATAATGCAATTTGCGTACTTCAGCATAAAGTTTGTAGCTTCAGAAGTTAATTTACATAATTAATACCACTCTTACTTTGTAAAATCGTATACATTTAAAGCTCGTCGGTGTAATTCTTGAAGTGGCCCTATTTCATGCCATAACAAAAACATGCGCGTGTGTCTGTGTTTGCGACAATTGCGCTGACACAGTAAAACCACAATGGAGTGAATTTCATATCCTCAATGAGGGACGAAGCTCGACAAAGAAAGATGAAATCTCTTAGATATCCCTTTCTATTCCAACTAAGCTGATCCCATTTGCTGAATATTTGTTGCCGCGATGTCCTAAATCTGATAAACTTTTATCGCGATCCATCTCTCGTTTTTGCGCGTTCTATTATGGCTCAAGGGTGAAATGCGCAAATATGTTTATTTTTAACACTCTAAAGTATCCAACGGCCTTTTTTTCAGTGGGACGATAGGTGCGAAATTTGTTAAGTATACATGCCTCATCAGAATAGTGTGAACTATTCAGAAATTTCCCTTTATTCATAATCCCTAATTCGTTAATTAAGATACATCTGAATGTCATAATTAGATCGCTGAATATGTAATTCCCTAATCAAATTATATAACCAAACTGATTTTAGTATTAGACATTTCATGTACTTGATGCTATGGAAAGTATCACCATTGCTCATCGCTTTATCAACTGCGAAAATGGAATCAGATTCACAAAATTGTCTTTAGTAACAAAACTTTACTGTCGAATATTAATTGCTTAGGGTAACTCATGGCTGAGCGGTAAGTTGAAAGTTCGTTTTATTAGAAGTGTCCGTGCGGCACGGTGTGCTACGTGACTTTCGCCAACCATTAACTACATTTACCAGCTTCGATTTTGTTTAGTTTAAGACAGAACTTGGATTTAGGCCCAAGCTATCGTGACGCAGGAGAGAATCCAAGTGATTATAAACAAAGCGAAATGGAAAGTGTCATAAATGTATAAAAGGTAAATATTTAACTCAAATAACACGTCATATACGCGATTTAATAAACTGTCAAGTTCAGGAAGTATTGATATAGTGTGGTGAGGTACGAAGCCTTGGATTACTTAAACCCTCGTCTTTACACGTCGCAAGCATAAAGACGAAAATATTGATTTTGACTGTACGTACAGACACGAATCATTCGAAAAGTCATACTCCACACGGTTGGTCCTTTTTTAACAAATTTCCTCGACTTAATACTCCAGACGCCACCTACAGGTTGAGACCACGCTTACATTCGCTGAACCCTAACCCAACGCGAACTTCAAATTACTCTTTTCGTGTCTGAGCTTTAGATTGAAAACTGTCGCCGATAAAATTTCGCATAGGTATAAGTGAATTTACTTCCGAAAATTCCGAAACCATTCGTTCTATAATATCTCGAGGGGCGCCTCTTAAGTGTTACATTCTAAAAGATTCGAGCTGAGTTAAAGCACCCCTGAATTATCCATCTCTGGT